TCACAAATATTTTCACCGCATTTAAAGACCAGTACTTTTCAAAAAAATTAGATTATTATTATTAGTAATGTTATTAATTCTTATCATATCATTATCTATATGCTTGTTTGAATGCATACAATTTTACTGACATCAATGAAAATATGCACATGAAAAACAAATTTTAGGTGAATATTTTCGGGTTTGCGGTTCAAGCAGGGGAAATAATTTTCGGTAAAACATTTAGGTATCATGAAGGTAAGATGTGATCTTATCCTAGATCGTCTACAATCTATCTGAAACTCCAAATCATTGAACAGTTTATTACCCATGAATAGTTTTGAGATGAACGTGTATTTTATCTGAAGATACCATTTTAGCTCAGGTTTTCGAGATGCCAGTATCCGCTTTAGCTATCATTCACCGATGAATTAAAAGTAACATGAACAGCCACATATGCCACATTCCGATACCTATCATTGAGGTACACAAGATGGTTTTCTCACGTAAATAATCTGTGGTGTCTCTGTAATATTTTCTCATATATACATACAAAAGGGATTCCATTAATCTTCACTATATGACTTGAGACTTATTAGCCAACTCTCATTTATCCGGTGAATATTGTAATCAAAACACCATGCGATCTTCACAGAATTGATCACAAAAATCCAGTCTGTAAGCACTGTAACCACGTCACCCTATGCGGCTTTTACAGTGCATGTACCAAAGATCCCCAAACCACGATTTACTCTAGTTAGAATCATTGATAAATGGTAACGTAATATTATCTCAAGGTGTTTAGACTACACAGACATCCAAATTTATCTTGATAATTATAGTTTCACTGTTGACAATGTGACATCAGTTAATTCTCCCCGAAATGTGAATAATTTTTGACTGAAATAGGCGCCTATATGTCAGCACGTGTAAACACAGTAATAATGCAAGCTAAGTTGAATTGAGAATGTCATCTGATGAGCACGTTTTATTTTGTCATTGAGTGAAGAACGATTCAGTCAAAATGACTGCGCCCTCAGTTGCTCTTCATTTTTAATCTTCTTACAATCTGTCCGGGTCTATTTGGCAATTGTACTGCATTTGATCAAACTTCCTGTGTTCCCGTTACAAAACAAAACCGTTCGAACAAAATAGGCAATAATTTTCAGACGATGATTGTGATGGGATAATAATCATTTGAACATTTGTTTAGGGGTACCACGTTGTTTGCTCAATCATCCAGACGCATGAAGCAGCAAAGTTGGTGCAATTTATCTACACGTTTCCGTAGGAATCGCGCGATTTATGCATCACAATAAACATCAATTCCACCGAACCTCGCTCCCCGCGATTTCTACAGAACGATGTTTTGTGTCCGTTTTTTGTTAAACAGATGCATTTCCAACACACTTCACCGAGATGTCCAAAAAAAGAATATTACAATCGATCCAAAGGGGAAGGTTTTATCTGAAAGGAATTGCCGTTGCATATTGCCAAGAGATTACGGTATATAAAACTGGAAGCAGTAGGTTTAGATACTGTTTCAGGGACAATAGACATGCCACCAATTAAAAGCACTGTGTTTCCACAACAAGCTTGTCCAGATAAATAAATACATTGGTGGGAAAACTGTGTCCATTTTATTCGGTTGGCAAACCCGTCTGCCATTTAACGATGTAGAAAAGATTCAGATGTTCAATTGTTACACTCGTCAATGTGAATTAGATATTATAGGCCAATAAGTTTGATCAACATTTGATGAAAATGTGTTTTTCAATAACTTCGCTTTCAAACGGTCGCATTTATATAAGTATTGGTCATATCAGTACATTGGTGCCAAGCAGTGCGGAAATTTGATGGTTCAGTAAATGATAGTTTCAGACAAAAGGCACGCACCTGCATCATTTGGTTCATAACGTCTACAATTGACAAGACTTCCACAAGATTAGGTCCCATAATCAAGAAACTCGAAGCTCACAGGGCTACAAGCACGTCAGTTCTATAGAGTTAACTCATTTTACCACCACCACTACCAACAACAACAACAACACCGTAATACTGGGTATTGAATCAAACAGCATGTATTTCTTACTTAAGTGACTCAGGAGATGTAAATACCAACATGCTACAAAGCAGAACACGCCCAACTTCATTTTGGTTGAAACCATTTCAATTTCAATTTGAGGGATTGAACAAACAGGTCATCTAGGTTCAAGTAATCGACCATGCTTTTGTCGGTGTGTAACTCACTATAAAATAAACTGAGTGATTAGCAGATTGTCTAAAACACGGGGATAAATGCCACTTCTCAGTATAACGTGAAAGAAAAATTTGAACCCTGTACATTACTGATTAGCAGAAATAATCAAAACAAACATGGGGGCGTTCATTCGTTTTGTATTTATTGTATTGTATTGTATTGTAATAAATTCCGTGAGCATGAAGCCCACATTTCAGTTACCGTCTCAAAAATGGAAATAATACAGTTTGTTGGTCAGACTATGGAAGAAAAGGACATTCCAGTTGAATTACCAGTAGAAGAACTGGAACGGCTTTTACTGTTATGTATTCACAATGTGCTATTCTCCTTCCTAGGTCAATAATATCAATAGATAGATAAAGGAGCTATGGGCACACTGTTGGGGCCCATTCGAATGGACATTTAGGTAGATCATAGTGAATTACAACCGCGGGACGAGATGTTATTCACAGTTACGGAGATTGTTACCTGTGTTCAATGGTATTCACTTTAGCGGTCCACAAAACGATGCTGTGTATCGACTTTTATTCGAAATGACCAAAATTGGTTTATCCATTGTTTCACTTTCTAACACCTCACCCATTTGTCCCATGGATACTGAGATGCAATTAGAAAAAAATTGTGCACAAACTATCCTTGATAACGGATCGGTGAGAAGCATGGCTGTCATAGTGAACTGCCGAATATGAATGACTCCAACCCATCTCAACTGATGGAGCTCCAACTGATCGAATCTCTGGGTTCGTGACTGACATCAACGCGCGTCAGTCAATCGCGTCTCACACAAATGTGTCATATTATCACGGTGTGAACTTTCCAGGCGACGGATTTCATTTTCAGACTCTCTCAGAGCAGACTGTCGCTACTGATGTGAAGAACGTGGGATGAGACGCGCGGGACGAATGTGAACGAACTAATCGAGAGGAATCGATCGTCCACCAGCTTGTAGGAATGCACACAAAGACACCTACAGACAGCATTCTTTTTACGCGTGGGAGTAGTCGGGTTGACTTATGCCGTGAATTTTTGGACCGTAAGGACAGTGAAGCATAAAAAGCGCATTGCAATAAATCATTCAAAAGATTGCTAGTGCTGTGGTTTACTCGTAAGCAGTGATGGTCAAATTGGATATGGTATAACGAATGCAGGACAGAGAAACATATTTGAATAAAATATCCCAAAACTTCCTCTGTTGTGTATGCTGCATTGAATTGCTCTAAGATTGGAAGAAGATTGTTTCAAACTATGCAGTGGAGTACGCAATGAATGTTTAGACAATCGTCATCCCACCCAGTTTACTAATGCATTTCACAAAAGTACATTCCTAGGTCGGTGACCAAAACAATGATCAAACAATGAGGAGTTGCACCCGATTATTTGCGAAGTGAGTGACTGCAAAATATTTGATCCCCAGTGTATCGCTGTCTGAAACGAACCGGGATTGTGTTTGGAGATGAAGTCTGAAGGATGTTCTGTACAAAAATCGTTTGACTGTGAGATCAGCTTTACTTGAAGTGTGTGTGCTGAAAGAGAGCTCATTTAGCATTTCTCGTAACGCCACCCACGGGGATGATATGAGTGCATCTTCTTGTCTCACAGTTGTTTTCACATGAGAAATTGAACCCTTGAATACAGGGATGCTGTTTTAGAGGGTTGAGGTCCACTTTTGTACCGGTGACGTATTTCTAGCGACGTAATGAAACTTATACCTTGTTTAGCCACATTAAACATTTGGTATTGACTGAATGCAGTTGAGTTCTCAAGTAATATCTTATCTGTATTATCAGTAATGCAACACATTTGTTCCTTGAAAGTTAAAACAAGGTCAAGTCGAGTCCACTCAACAGAGAGAAATTTTAAACCATATGGTAGTCTATTCAGGCCAGTTTTCAGCCAGCAGAAACGTAGTTCTTATTCCTATGGTGTTCTACAATCTGCAAACAGCCGCAACTTCTAAACGGAATGTTAATACTACTTACGAGTGGCACCTAAATTTAGTGATATGGTAAACAACCCAAAGAAATTGAATAATTCTCGTTTTTTATTACACAAACTATTTTATGATCAATAACAGAATAAGTAAACCCTATCGTAACTAGGATCTATTGTTGATTCATGTGAACCGGCAATCTGATTGCCGGTAATGGAGTGCTGAACCATTTGAGGCTTCGTTTTATGAAACATGGTGTTGTGGTCAAACAGTGGTGTAGCTATATACCACCGAAGTTTGGTGTCAGTGATGGGATTCGAACCTCAAAACATAAGAAAGACACTGTCAAAGACCTGAATCGCTTGATCGCTACGACCGAAACACTAGTTACATCATCGGAGCCTGAGAAAAGAAACGTCGGGATTACAAGGTACACGTGGTTCCGCAAAATGAAGGAGACTTTTTTCCGAGACGACGATTGTGTTAATGGATGAGTAAAGAGAGCAATGGAAGAAAATGATAAAAGAGACAGAGATCCACACAGCGGATTAATAAGTTTAACGTTGTACATAGAGAAAAGCTTTTCACATGCAATTGGTTGAGTATTTTGTAAAGGTAATCCATCAACCACTTTTTGTCTTACAACTGAAGATAACTGTTTAAGCTGAGCCACACGGAATGCGAAGCTCATCAGTCGAATTTTCCGAAGTATCGAAATATCTCCACAGCAGCTTTTAAGTTAACCGGATCAAAAATATGTTTTCTTAAAACCAACTGGATTTATTCAGAAGATCTTACGATCGTGCAAATGATTCCCACACTGGGACTTACCCGAATAACTCCGCCGGTAGATTTTCTTCGCTCATCCGCACTGGTCAATTCCGAACCGGTCTCTGACAACTTCGTTTCCGCGCCAACCACCACGTTCGCGTCTTCTTCCTCGTCCGAGTCCAAATCGCGCTGAATATCACGCCACAATTCACGTAATCGCTCTGGCCGATTGACCAAATCGTCCCGATTCAACGGATAGTATGCCGAACCTAGACAGACCGTTTCACCACATCGTGCTCGTTCATGCGTCAGTTGACGTTGCATAATCTGATGGGATTGGGAACGTAAACTCGCGCGTCGTCGTAGGACTAATTGTTTACCACTGAGTGGCTCCATTGTGGTTCGATAGACGGTGAACTGTATGGCACTGGTTTCGATCTCATTCAGGGATAATTTAAAAGTGAATGACTGGTCAAACACCGGATTCAGGCTAGATGATACTGAATGAGTAGATTGTGGGCTGGTGGAGATCACATTTGACGGGCATGGATCCGGTCCAATTGGATTGGGCTGGGATTTACGTTGATTTAAACGCACCGCGACTACGAATGCGGTCTCTGTTTGACTCGGAAGTAGACGAGTAGAGTTGGTGATCAGATGAACTCCATTCAGACGGTTCACTGTCACTGTCAGGATCCCGGTCGTGCACACGTACGATAACGTGAATGAGATTCGACTTTTACCGTATATACTTGAACTCAGTTGGGTCCAAGCACTTTCTGCTTCGCCCATACTGTGTCTTCCTTGTACAGAGCGTAATTGTCTGGAATTATTACTTCCGTAGTCATCCGACAGTGATAGTCGTCCAGAACGGATGCATGAATTTGAACGAGTCCAGCCAGCATCCCGAATATCGACAGCATTGTGCCGTAAAAGAAGTGAACTGGTTGATTTGAACGATTTTCCCTGACTAGGGGTACTACGTCCAGAATCACTGGTTGTACTCTGTCCAGTTAAATTTAGGGAGTAGCCCACTTTGCTAAGAAGAGTATAGGAAAGCTCACCGGTCGTATAGCGTCGTTTATATAAATCCGATTTTTCTGTTCCTCTGGACGTAAACAAACACTCGGATTGTGCAGATCCCCTTGGTTGAATCGGTTGTGGTACGCCAATACTGACCGGGGGTGAGGTGACAAGAAACTGGACTCGTGGAGCTCGGCCAAATGCCGAACAACTGTTTCCTCCGGAAGGGAACCTGGCTGGACGACTGATACACGTGTTAAGCATTTTTTTCTCTCTACCCAAACCAATCCCAGTACTGATTGAGTGCCGCTCACTTTTGGTTAGCTTGGGTAGTGTTTCAGGGACCAAAGCAGTACCGCTTGCTTTGCGCTGGTAAAATTGGGCTATCTGATCCCGATTGGTTTTACGCGAGGCCCCACTGTGACTGCCGCGTCGAGTCTTTTTTGGCTTGGTCACACGATAGATCACCCACAACAGAATGCCAAGAGATGCGCACAAGGCGAAACAGAATGCTAACCAGATGGTCCACGTGTTTGATCGATGTGCGATCCAGTTGAGTCGTTTCACACGCTCGACTGATACAAGTGCGTTGTGTTTCGCAATTCCGACGGGGTTCGGCGGAGTACGGTTTGTTTGTCTGGAGGTAACGTGTTGTTTTACTGTGGCGAATAAATTGAAGCCGGAAAAATGAACGGTTAGAGAAGTATATCACAAGATCAATTGCGGCATGACGTTTTACAACTGAACTGATTTATCATGAATCAAAAATGAAATATAATTTCATAAAATGTGCTAAACAGTTCCCCCGGTTTTTACAGTGTTGATACTCGTCGGGTCCTTGCTTTGTCATCAGTTCCAAGTTACCCATTTAGAAAAGACTATTATGAGCATTTATATTGTAGTATTATGTATTTTAAACATCGACATAAAACGATATGCAGTGGTTCAAACTTTTCATGGAGACTTTAGAGTCACATACTTTATTTCTTTTCCCACCCGCCACGAACCTTCGGACTAAGAGCCAAAATCATAATCGATCGATGGCCAGCAGCTCGATTGAGTAGCTAGATTTCAGAAATATCATAAACCTGGTTCGGTTTGTTTGGTTTCCACAGACCCCAATCACTGTGGTTGGTAATTTTGCGGCCAAAGTAAAGAACTATTCCAGGAGTGCGTTAACGTGACCGAAGACGGGACACAGTGCCTGGTGGCTGAATAAATCTAATAAGCTGATTTCAAAACGAAAATCCATAAAACTATCTTTTTTCATCTCCCTCTATTCTAGGACCCTTTTTTATTGGTTAACTGGATGTGAAAGTTTCGTCACCGTCACAGAAATACTTCTTCTCAAATAATTTAAGGAACTAATTAGGAAGTATTAACATCAAATGTCTTCGGTTATAGTGACTTTTCGATAATGAAGCGCAGTAGAGCTCTTTTATATTTCTGTTCGCATATTTTGCCAGTTTACAATTGTTAGTATTTGGAAACGGGATGAAGGTATTCTACCCGTGATTATTCCTTCTACCTCAGACCGGTCATGGAGTACCATAAAACTATCAGAATACATGGTTTAAGGTCAAAAGTACCTCATGAGCTACAAAGACTCCTTTCCGATCAATCAACACAACTAATCAAACAACATTTAGAAGTGGACACGACATAAACGTCTCTCAGTTCCCAAGCCTGCTTGCGTCCGAAAGTCCATAATATCGGTGATTACTTGTAGAGAATGACGAGCGCCATTGGCGTTGATTGAAAAGTAAGTGCTCGATGGCTTACTCATTTTGCGTGCATGTGTGTATAGACCAGAAAACACAATCTGATTCAATGAATCAGTGAATGCGGATCCACAATGAGCAAGAAAACAAGGAGAAAATTGGGTGAGTTGAGGACAGCAAGCAGTTTGATTGGCGACAAAGGCGGCCACAGGATTTTATATAAAGTATTCGAAACGAGTCGCGGTTGGACCGTGAATTTTTGCTGCATTAGTATGTTTCTGCACGCAACGCATTCACAGTAAAACAACCAGTGTGTGTTTCTGTGTTTGGGGTTCACAAGTGAAATTTCTGTCCTCATCAAATGATTCTCATTTTCTCCCCAGATTTTCTTTTTCACTGACATGATTGAGTATGAATATTCTCTTCGTTAAATTTGCCTGCTTTCTAGTCTATGCAAATACAAACAACACAAAATAGGCGCATTCAGTCACTTAATATTTTCAATCTAGGACAGTGATGTTCACCATACTGCAAAATAGACTACATTTGTTTCCGACACAGAGTTCTTATGCGCACGTGGACACAGACACACTTGCTCATTCATAGTAAACTAAAGCATGAGCTTTGCTGTTTTTCGCTTCATCGGCTGTATGGTAATCGAGAAGATGGCTTTTGCATAGTTCAAATTTTCTCTTTGCTCAATGAGATTCATCCGTCCTAGAGACACTTGGCCTTTTCAAAAGTTTTGCTCCAAATCGATTGACGTTTGAGGAAGAGTCAGAAAAATTATCATTAGACCGAATCCAGCGTTCATTATGTCCAAATAGTTTGTTCCATGAAAATCAATACTGCTTTGTTTCGTGAAAAACCTTAAAAATACATGCACTTTGAACATGAAGGGACATCAAGCCAGCGAAATGAAATGAAATTAGATCAAGATGGAATTAGATGTAACAATCTACTTTGGGGTGGGGTGGAGTGAGAGAATGAAACGAGTGCAATAAGACAATTCAAATTATTAATACTATTTGCATGCGTGGTATAGTACTACACCTGTAAGCATGCATACTCAACTATGTGGATAATTTACCTATCTAAATATTCAAACGAAAGATAGAGATCATGAGAAGCAGCGTGCTAGAAAAGAATAGGAAATGGTTATCAAACCTTGAATTGCGTAATAAGTTCAATAACAAGTAATTTTATAATCTTGGTGGAATCCATAGCATACAAGTCAGAAGTTACGTATATTTTATATTAACAGAGCAAAACTCATAGTAAACAAGATAAATTTGTTATCTGACTGCTACATTATGCATATATATGGACCTTATGCATTTGCAAAAGCAATTTCTTTTTCAATGTACATTGATCACTTGATACAGTTGTGGTGAAAGACGATTATCAAATGTGTAGAATGATTAGAGAATAGATTGATAAAATCTCCATTATAAGGAACGGAAAAAGAGAAACAAATGGTGAAGAAGGAAACAGGACTTGTGATGTCATACATTTCTGTCATAAGTAGAGGCACCATGAAGTAGGCTCAAGGTATGTTGTGGTTTTGAAGAGTTTTGATCAAGTGATCTATATGGCGAAAAAAGTTTGCTAGTTGCTGTAATTTTACAGCCACAATTTTTACTGCTGTAAGATGAGGATATATCACAGGTAGGTGGTACTTTACAGACTAATTTGAATGCTCCTTATTTCATATGATGTTTCTTATTCGTGAGATATGCCTCCAAATTGCCCTCTCTTTCGTGATTTTGGTTCTTGTGAATAATTCTACCAGTTTACATACCTTGATACATTTATGATACATTATGAAATTGCCTGAATATTCTGCCCAAATTGCCTGCTGAACATGAGTAATCAATAACATGGAGAAAGTGAGGATCGATAGTTGAATGATAGCACAGACTACCTGGTGTGATATGAGTGTAAACGGGAAGCGGGAACTCGGCCAGCGATCATCTTATTTAGGTGTCTTGTCAGTGTATCCGTCTGGTAGTCGTTTTTGAAAACGGAGTCATGTGTGTGTGTGGTCGCTTTTGGCTTTATGTGGTTCTCGTATGTCTATGGATTCTTTCAAATTGGGTTATTTCGAACGAACATCTCGGGATGAAAACTAACCCCCCCCCCCTCCCACCTCCCGGAGGGAGGGGCTGGTGCACAGAAAATATGTATTTCAGACGCAAATAGCCGAGGATCAAATGAGCTTACGTTTGGGCATCAGACACAAAACATAATCTGCCAAGTGATTCATCAGTATGCCTAGTAAAACCTATCAGGTGAGTATGATGTGAAAGTGTAAACCCGATTTCAACTCGATCATTCTGTTCCTTTGGGATTGAAGTAGGTAAATGTGATATTCCATACGATAATAAATTAAGTCAGTTGAAGTAGTTGAATCATCCTAAAACAGGTTTTTCTACCAACAACCAGAAGATGTGTTGTGCAATCANGTGAGATTGTGGGTTGATACGATTGGAATTTGATCTGTTGACTCTGGTCGTGAAAATACAAAAACTCACGTGTTTGAAAGAATTTTTGTAGTATGGCAAAGTGAACAAACAATACGACTGTGTACTTCATGATGGACACATGTAATTTGCTATCTGATCAACGCAATAAACTCAATCGAGGTTTTGGCGGTTGTCAATCAATCAGCATATACTCACGCGTATCAACCACATCAAGGTTTTGATAACCAGGAGGAGAACGAATTAGTATCCATGACCCAATCATTTTATCACACTCATCGTCAGAACGACATACCTCTGGCATCTCTCCTCAGAACGGACGGAATTTCAGTCAGACCTTCGCCTAATGGTTGCTTTTTTATTCACTATGAATGATCGTCCAATATTGCCACATATATGGAATTTCAGAGTACTATTACACCAGTTCGGCGGTTGTGCGCTCAAATCCCGAAGGCAACAATACTGAAATCTCTTTTGGTGGACATTTCAATAGACTTTGGATTGAGCACAAGCCTTTTTACGAAAAGAACTGCACAATTGCATATTTCGAATTCAGCAGAAATGACGTTCGAGTAAAGCTCAACATCGTGAAGCAATGTCCAAATTATTGCTCGGTAATGAACCTAAGTGAGTATTTGATGAGGCGTGTGATAGAAATCGGTGTCAACGATTTGTAATTGGAATGTCGATTAGTTCCATTACGAATCATCAAAGTCTTCTCACATGACGGGGCTAAGGAAATTAATTGTTCAATTTGTGATACTCTACACGATTCTGAGATTCTGCTGTCACTGATCAATCCGGAATTATCGGTTCACCATTTATGTCAATTGTACCATTGTCCTTTTCCCATCGATCCATTGTCCTTGACCCGGTGTATTTACCTTCTTACAAACAGTTCCCCACAGTTTTCTAATCCGACTGAAATCCCCATCCACCCATCCATCCACCGTCTTATCATCACCAGCACGCACGCACACACACACACACAACGAGAAACATACACATGCGTGTCGAAACTCGCGAAGACTAAATAAAAAATGTTTGTTCGTTCTTCCGCCCAACACAACTGACCCGATGTACAGATGCTAAGCATTCCGGTTCAAGCTGTCCCAACCGAAACCGAACGAGGCAAACTTCAGCAATGATCGATTTTAAAGGGAATCGATGAATTGAGTTGTTCGCCCCACCGGAAAGAAACAAATGAGAAAAAGAAATTCCGGTAGATGAAAGAGAGAAGGAGAATCGGACGAAGTAGTTGCATTTCAGGTCAGGTGGTACACGAGTGATGGCTGAATGCACAGGACAATTAGGATTGTGAAAATGATCACACATATTTTGAATGGGAAATTTTGTTTAAAGTGTACTGCTTGGATACTAGTGTAATCCGCTTAAACAGTCGTTGCCAAAAAAGCATATTCTACCTCTTTTTCCCATTTGTACAGAAAAGTTTTCGAGGGGAGCCGTGAGTAGCTGTTCCTTAACTGCGTTTATACATGCAGATGTAGGTTGGATAGCAAAAGAGGATTCTAACCCACAAACCTGAGCTCGATGTGACGATGATTAACACTGCATCACTGATCAAAAATAACTGCATGGAACTACCATATAAGGACAGTAACTTAACACATGAAAGGTAACCACTTAGATGTCACAATTGTGTTGTCCTCAGAACTGATTGTGAGATTTCCCCACCGGTGCGTTTATTGCCAATGTACTAAATTAAAGAGATTAGTGCTCAGTGGTGGACAAACATGTTTTACTATTGCATCATATTGAATCGGATTGGATCATACTGGAGCACCTCTTTTTGTCCCGGTGTTTTCCTTTGATTGCTTGATTTCTTCTCTTCTCGAGAAGTGATTTTCATGTTAGTTACAGAATAACAGCTAATAAAAAACCAAACGGGGGACGATTACCTAGGGCAACAAGGAATAGACGAAAACCATTTTATGATGGCATGGTTTTGTTCTGCACAAGGCTTATGAACAATATCATTGCAAATTAACGATTTCCAAAGTTTTCCATTCAGTCCTTTTCAAATCGAGGCGATATTTTATTGTCGTGATGAGAAGGCGGAGGGTGATAGCCAGTGGATTGGCCGTGATCAACAATGTTCACAATGGATAAGTTCAATAGTTAATTTATGGACCTTTCTGGGCCTCAACTGACTAGACTTCTCTAAATAAATATAGACGATGTGATTGGAATTTCATAAACCTATGTCATGGAGGAGGCACTAATCACTGTCATTACAAATTGAAACAAAGAACCAGAGAGACTGAGAGTTATAAGGAAAACAGCAAATTAGGACAGAGAACTGATCGACTTTAGTTCGGATATTTTTGGGTCAAAACAAATAATAAATTGATCAGAAATCGTATACCTCAGGACGGAGTTTATTGAAAGATAGTACTGTGAGTTACTACTCACGTTTGTGAGTAGTATGTTCGGATCGCACAAAAGAATGTGGTTGATGGTTTCTCACAACGGTGGTTAAAATGGTAACTGCAAACAATGCGCATTTACCGTCAGCGCGTTCCATTAATTATCCTGCATGCATGTGGGAATTATCATCATCTGTTTCAAATGTGTTCTTGTCGTATGTACGCCAATTATCGATACACTTGCAGTTGTTCGTAATAAACAGTTCTCCTCGTCCCGTCACCGTCTTGGAGATTTATAACTATGATAGTCACGCCGTCTAAATCAGTCTCAGGTTTCCTCGGCTGCAGCGGGTTTAAATCACATTATTCTGTTCGAATTGTTCTGATTTACTGCAAACTTTATAAAATTATTTGTACAGTTGACTACTTATTAGAAAAAGAAATCAAATTTACCCATTTTTCTATACATGCTCTTATTATGATAACCAAATTTTCAATAGTGTGCGTAGAATGTTTGTCGCCACGAAGAACGCCTTTCTCAGTCTATTCACATGATCATAGAAGATTCTGTTCAACCGCGACTTCAGTGCTACTCAGAACAGTATAATTTGAGACTATTCTACACACTTCCCTATAGTTTCACAGTTAATGATTTGACCGGGGTTTTGTACAGTTGTTGGTCAGAATGTGAAAAATATGCTTCCCTCAAGGGGGAAATATTGGCTGACCGACCTCAGAATCATATCAGCGATTGTTATATGGGACTGTAATGATTACAGAGCTTTCTACAGTCAGTTCGTTCTGTTTCTCTCAAAATCAAATCCCCAATTTGCGTCCGCTCACACATCATCTGTTCATCTTACTTACTATGGAATTTTGACCAGCGTGGTAACCAGATCTAGTAGACAACTATAATCTCATCGTGCCCCAACTCACTGTTGTGATGTCCACGAATCATTGGGATTATGATAGACTTCGGACGCACGCTGGTATGAATGAAACATTTGCTAGCAATCGGATGGCTGCTTATTGGAACCAAGGTGTTAGAAAGCGCTTATGAGCAAACAGAGAAAATGGCACATTCTGGGTTTGGATGGAAATGATTTTCTCCTTTTTTCTCTTCTCTCTGACTCCATTCCTCGCCCTGGTTTGCGTTGTTTTTGGTCCGTCACGATTTCGGGACAGTGAACCGGAAGCTATCGGGATATATAGATAAGTTCGGTTCACACTGCACTTCATTTGCTTATTGATATCGTTTGTTGATATTCGGTTGGTACTGTCCAGTGTTGGGAGTTGGGTGGAGAACAGCAGTCCAAACAAAGTCAGGTATTTTGTCATCCCCCGTTTTCTCACTTTTTTTAAACTTCTGAACGGGTACACATGTTCTGTACACTATTCATAGAAAAGACGTCTTAAGACGACTTATCCACCCGAAGAGAATGCGACTGTGTTGTGATGCGAAATGATGAATGGATGTACACAAAGTTAACTGCCCAAAATGTTTGCCTACGAATAACGATCGATAGTATCATTCAACCAATAAGAATAACAATGTAAATCGGTTGGTTTCATTCTCATAAATGTGCTATTCGTACTCAAACCATCGTGAGTAGTCCGGAAATGATCCTACCAACTAGTATTCATACATCTCCTCTAGGGCCAACCGGAATACAAACAGTGTCTTATTCTATTGCTGATGTAGGCCGAGTAAACCGTCACAGCCTGGATTGAATACTGCTTGTGCCGAAGGTATTGGATCAACCACTGAATTGATGACCGGTGACTAACAATCACGAGTACAACTCATGAAAGTGCTGTTCACTGCTTATGAAGTTTTTCCTCATACGGGTTAATTTCAGTTCAACTCTGGGACAAAAAATACCATTATCAAAATAAGAGCCCTATTATTGCGTGTACGTTTTAAAACAAACGGGGGAACCTAGTCGTAGTCGTGGGTATGTGACGTTTTACATTGCACACAGTAGTTTTTCTTCTCGTCTGACCTTGCAACTCTGTGTGAGAAACAGAGAGGGGGAGCTATGCACATTTTCATCGCGACCAACTGGCGATTGTTTTGAATACGGGTCAGAGGCAATTGCGTAACTGTAAGTTTGATGTACAGTTGTTTTGTAAACAAATTCGAATAGAAAACAAAACGAATCTTTCGAATGGATGAATGGTCTGTGATTGTCTACTCGCGGTCTCGGAGATGCTGATAAGGACCTTCCAACGCGGAGGACGCCTAATGATTTATCAAACCCAGTATCGTCAAATGATGTGAAATCAGTCTTTTTCCCGGTTGAAACCAATCTGTCAATCAGTGCTGCCCTACAAAACCTACCTAGTACGTTGTAGCACGTTGACGGTATTCAAGATGCAACCAAAACAATTGGCGCTCACATGAGCTGTGGGCACATTTCGGACTATAAACATGGCATCAGGAATTCTCATACCCAGCCCAAACCACCACTGTAAGCTGAGATGCGGGGGCTGTTTACTTCAGTAAACAGCCATCATCTTGCTCCCACACATGAGGTGAACAACATTTTCATCTCTCAAATTCCCAAGTTCGAGTATCACATACAGTTATCATCAGCATAACCTGCGTTTCAATTGGTCTAAGAAAACAGATATTCCGTTTTGTGTATTCGTCATGTTCCAGTCGGTTTGGGGTTCAAAAATTGTATGCGGTGAATTGCGTATTTGTGTTCTGTTTATGGTTCTGCGAAAATATGTTTACCAATATGGGTTGAATAGAAAGGAACAAATGGCATCATTTCTTAAGCGGGCATTTGTTGTCGTTTAAGAGAAGTCTAAGACGCCTACTCTTAAAATAGAAACTGTGGACCAGTTTTGCAGCAAACCTGTCTCCTTGTAACATTTCACTGGGGGCCAAATAAAAAAACGGAATTCACGC